AAAAAAAAAAAAAAAAAATTAAGGAGACAAAATTAGTGATGTATATTGAACAGTGATATAAAAATCAAATACTTGAGAAACAACTAACTGTAAGGTGATAATGTATATCAGATATTTTCTGTTACTAACATAGCCAATTACTCAGCAAAGCCTCAAAAATAGAGAAGAACAAAAAATGGTGATAAAATTAAGGTAAAAATTGAAATATAAAGTAGTAATTGAAAAAGGAAAAAAAGATTAAAAAGAAAGAAAAGCAATCGCGGTATATCAATAAAATTTTCAATGAAACTATAGCATAATGAATTTTTAATTCTTTAATGGAAACTAAAAAGTTTACTTTTTCTGCTTACCCTCGTTCCCAGTTGTCATTTCTAAACATTCAATTATTTTAGATCTTCAGAAAGATTGATTGACGGATTTTAGTTAAACCAATAACAAAAAAAAAAAAATTGCTAATATGTTGAGACAACGGAAAAAAGTGATTTCAGTGCTCTGTTGCCATGTTTATGACTGTTTCAGTGTTTGTTCTTGTTCAGATTCCTATGTTGTCGTCGTCGTCATCGTCATCACCGTCATCATCGTCATTTCCAATTGCAATTGAAATACGAAGAAAAATACGATTACAAAAACCTTCTATAAAAAAAAAAGCAGTAATCAACAGTAAACAAAATTTTGAAAACAAAAAAAAAAGGTAAACAGAATATTACATAATAAAAGAATGACTGAAAATCTTGTGAAATTTTTGACGATAACAAATCAAATTATAGAAAAATTAAAAGAAAAAATAAAAGAAAAAAGTGAAACTTATTCGTTTTGTTTTTATTAAGTGAATACCTTTCGGTTTGTTATCATCTGTAAGTAAAAGAGCAAAAAAGATACTAACTATAAAAATTCCTTATTAGAAATTTCATAGAAAAACTTTTTTTTTTTCTTTTTTTTTTTTGAATATAAAATCAGTATTGTTGAACGTAAAAAAAAAGTGTAAAATAGTATATCTGCGAAAGTTGAAAAAAATTTTTTCTTATTTTTTAACCTACAAAAAAGTGTATGAAATGTTCTATTGCTCTAGCAAAATAGCCATCAAAGTTGATGATTTTCTGAGCAAACATCGATACAGCTTTGGGTGCCTGACAGAGCACTGATTACTCACTGATAACACCTCTCAAGTTAGCCCTTTGGTTTGTAGTCTGTTAACAACGACGTCACCAATTGTAGTCTTAATAAGCTCATTTCTAGACTATAGAAATGCCAATAATAAGTGTAGAAAACTAGAGAGGGATCCTTTTAAACTACCAAACGGTTCTTAACATTTTAATTACTGTTTACCTAATTAATCAGCTATATGCTGTTTCCAATAAACAACAAAAACTTTGTTGCTTTTTTTTCCCACTGTTTTATTTAACGATAAATCAGCAGCAAAATCTTGAACAGCTTTACTATACAAAAATATTGACTAGCCTAACAGACATTTAATTGTCTAAAATTTAAAAATTTACAATCACAGTTAACAAAAGTTGTTTATTTTTCTTTTAAATAACAAAAAAAAAAATTAACAAAAAAACAAAAAACAAAAATAACAAAAATTTAACAAAAATAACAAACATAACAAAAATTTAAAAAAGGAAAATCAGTTACTATAAACATCAAAAATGTGCTTTAAAATTAGTGGCTAAGTGAAAGCGCATTTTTTAAGCTGAAATTAAACCAAACTTTTTGACCAGTATTGTCTTATCAGTAAAACAGCACTTCGTAAGTCATAACAAAAATTTTAAAGCACATTTTTGATGTTTTTTAACCAAATAATTCAAAACACCAATGATAACGAATAAACGCTAAAAAAATCTTTAATTACAAATAGAGATTTACATATATAACAATGTTCAGACATCATATAAGATAACTTTACACAGAGTATTGTTAGTGGTAAAAAATATAATTTATACAAATGCATGTTAAACAATAAAAACAAAATTTTTTTAGTCGTTTTTTAATTTTTAGTTACAAAAATTCATGTGAAATAGATTGGTTTGTCCGAAAGAAGTGCCGTTTTACTGATAAGACAATACTGGTCAAAAAGTTTGGTTTAATTTCAGCTTAAAAAATGCGCTTTCATTTAGCCACTAATTTTAAAGCACATTTTTGATGTCTATAGTAACTGATTTTCCTTTTTTAAAGATAAAGTCTTCATATAAACGAAGAAAACTGCTATCCTTTGAATTACTGATAGTCATAACGATCTCAAAAACAAAAAAACGACACTTCAACAAAATTTCCTCAGTTTTTTTTATTTGCTTTTCAATAGACGGCACATGCTGTGCTACGCTATTTTTAGACTGATTTTCACACCGTCAGATAAAAACTAAACTTGCCTTTTCTGCAGTGATTATTACCTCAAAATCTCCAAGTTACCGAGAAAAACTTTTTTCTATTGAGTTTTCTCCGGAGAGAAAATGAAAAGTGCATAAGCACAGCGAGAAAAAAAAGAAGAAAAAGACGATAAAAACCTCAAAAATCTATTGCAAATATTTTTAGCTCTAATTTAAGATTAAACTTTGTTGAAAGTGGAGAAATAAGTCATTCTGCATCCGGTCAGCACAAGTTTTCTTGAAATATTTTCAAAAAAATACAACTCCTAGTGTACTACTTACTTTTGCAATAGGCTTCTAGAAAACTTAACAAACAGTGAAAAAATGTTGTACAAGGTTGTCCTCTGGGTTCTAAAGGCTCTTTACTTATAAAGATCCTAGCTTGTGGAAACACTGATAGACAAATATGCCAAAGTTCTCCTTTTCTTACTCTAAGAAGAATTTTTCCACTCGGTTTTGGAAAAGCCCTACCTTTGACCGATGCTTGCTTGGTTCTTTTAAAGTTCTCCATATCTAAGAAAAAAAAGCGAAATGAAGTTGTAAAGCGGTATTTACAAAAAAAATTTCTGAAGAATACGTTGGGTAGACAATGGAGATTGATAAAAAGCTTTATAGAAGAACTCATTCAGACAGTTGAATACAACTGAGTTGACGGTTGAAGAAAGCCAAGTTTTGCTAAGTTTCTGAGAACATTTTAGCGCTGCCAGTGTCCGGCTGCATTTCTATACCCTCCAACATCGTTAGCCGCTATTTGTAGGAGTTTCTTCAGCGGATCGCTGAAAAACATCACTTCAAACGGTATTAATTAGTAAGTTGTTGCAGCTGCTTGACATATTACGTTCTTGCTACCTAACTAAGCACTTATCAACTCAACAGAGGCAAATTGAAAGACAAGAGGTGTGTATTAAATAGCTTCAACGTCTCCACACAAGAGTTACATGTAGTTACCAGAAAATACCTTGTGAGACATCTGGAGATGTCACAAATAATAATATTTAGCAAATGCTAGAAATAAGCGCTTGGAGTAGGAGGAAGCGCTGCGGAAACAAAGTATTGCTGTCATTGCTTTCAACTGCTGCAAGTGGTGATTTGCTATGCTGACAGGATGTGGAAACAAGTGTCTAGGAAAAGGCTGGAATTTTTTTAAAACGATTCAGTCAGTAAATTCGTTGGCGTAGAGACTCCTCTTCTAAAATTCCGAAACGGTATGAAACTGTCTGGAGATGTCACAAATTTTTTGAAAGAATCGATATTGAAAAATTATCCGGGACTCCCATTTTGCCTTGATATTGTAGATGGTATAAGAAGAGAAAACACGCAGCAAGCTACCTTACTCACCTGCAGAAACTTGAAGGAAGTTTGCAGATAGCACTTGTTATTGTCTTCGTCAACTAGTAGCAAACCTAATAACAGTGCAACATTCAAAACTTCAATATCCTTAAAAATTCTTTGTTTATTCTAAAGTAGGTTAAAGTTACTAGATTAACACAACATACAAATGAATAGTGAACTTTTACTAATTAGTTAGACCAACAAAAACTACTTAAAAACATATCAGAATATGAAAAAGTACTTGTGCTCAACAACGGCAACTGCTTTCAACAGACGCTAAACTTATAACGCCGGTCAGAATGAACTAATTTAATACAAGTGTAGGTTTTCAAAAACCCGTAATTCTTAGTAATATAACAGTACATTTGAATACTACTATCTCCTGTTAGAAATTTTAAAATTATCCACATAGTCGATTAAAACGCCTTCTAACAAACATATGAAGGGTTTAGAATGAGAAAATGAAAATATTTCGTGCTTGAACGATTTCAGTAGGTTTTATGATATGATTGTGGCAAAAAATTGCGGAGTAGTATTCATACAAAATATTACGACAACTTAACGTTAAATTTGAATGATTCACTTTTATAAGCAAAAATTACAGCGGGCAGATGCAACTCTCACGAATTCAAGTCATAGAGAACAGACTTTTCTGCTTCTTCATCACCAAGTCGAACAAATTCAAGGAAGACCTAAAAAATTGTTTAAATGTATTCTGAAATAACTTCATTTGGAATGCAAAAAGAAAATTTGAATTTTTACTTGTTCTAAGGTAGTTTGGCTAAGGGAATAATCAACAATGTTTAACTCTTCAGCAACATCTTCCATTTGCTGGAATAGTGAAGACCACGATCTTTCTGGTCTGCGACTAATTTCGTAGTTTAACAGTAGCAGGTTTTCTTCCTAAAGAAAAATGTTCTTTCTGTTATATATGTTTAACTATCACTTACATTAGAAGAGAAAGTTCTAGCAACGAGTAAATCTGAAAAATATTAGAAGCATTAAAACGACAAAATTTTACTTTAAGAACTGAATCCGGAAATTCATCAGTTATTCTTTGCTTTATTAGGGCAGAGTCCCCGCTACTTGGTAGTTTTATCAGCAATGTATAACCTACACCATACCTGCAGTCGTTATAAATTGCATAAAATGGATATTATATATAATATTTATATGTGTTATATATGATGCATTCCATATTCTAGATCTGAGCTTCTCTACGCTGAACGGTTTCTTATAGTCTATCTCATAAAGAAATTTTATAAATGAATTTCTAATTAGGTCTAATTGCGAGTAATTGTCGAGGTGTAAAAATGAGAAAAGTGAGAAAAGCAACGAGAAAGTAAATACACTTTTATAAGTGACAAAAGCTTTTCTTTGGTAGGCAAGAAGCTTTAGAGCCTGGTATAGTAAAAAAGTGATTTAAGTCTTCTAGCATTCGACAACGCATCTACTTGCGGATCTCATAAAAAACTTAAGGGTACTCTTCAGTAAGATGTGTTGATGCTTGGATGTTTAGCGGTTGTCATGTTCAGAAATTTACAACATTTCAAAATATTTTACAGACATATTGACTTGAATTTAAAAAATCAAAAATCTTTGCAAATGTCAGTGCTACTTTTTCTCTGCAAATACTTTTCTGAACCATTTTTATAAATTTATAGCTATTAACAATAAAAGGTTCTTTTTTTTCTATTCGACAGAGAGCATCTTTGTTAGATATAAGTCGGCGTACGTACGCAAGCTAGTCAGCTTATCCTGATCCTCGCTAATTAAAATCAACGAAGATATTGAAGCAATTCCAAGGAAAGGTGAGACCGTGAAAGCAAACCGGCAATGTTTTCTATGTAGTAAAAGCGGTAATAAAAGAGACAGAAAAATAGAAAAGAAGTCAAAATGCTTATTTTTTCAAGATTTTTGGAAAAAGAATCGAAATAAGACCAAAACTTTTGAAAGACAAGCCAATGCATAAGCTATTTGTTTCATTAGCAAGCATTTATCAAAAAATGCCTTGAAAATCGGCAAAAATTAGTTCTTTACAAAATATTATTTGGGAAAAGAAGCTTTAGACAACGTAATACTTTCCAGGATTGTTTAAACCAATAACCACAATCACAATTTCCATCATACCCTTCCCTTTTCACCTGCTATATTTTATTCTGCTTTTCCCCACTGGAGAAGCCATTTAGAGAGTAAGGCAAAAAGAGCATAAGCACTAAAAAACTACAGTAAAGATTTGAAAAAATCCTTGCTTTCTTTTTCTTCACAAATTCTTCAGCTTTCACAACGATAAATCTAAGCATGTATTGTATAAAGTATACAAGTATAAAATTACCGAGACTTGATCTGCTGTATACTTCCTAAACAGCGGAATTCACCGTTAACCATTATTGCGAGCTGTGTGCATAGAGCTTCGCATTCCTCCATGCTATGTGATGTCAGCACCAATGCTGTGCCTTGGTCTCGAACCTTAAAGTAAAGCATATGTTTCTATGAAATCTTGTTCCAAAATATCACTCCAAAATTATTAAAACACCTTAGAAAGAATGTTCCAAATTGATCTTCTCGCTTTCGGATCAACACCGGTTGTAGGCTCATCAAGAAGCAATACTTTCGGAGATCCAATCAAAGCTACCCCAAGACTTAACTTCCTTTTGTTCCCACCACTGCAAATTTGTAATTATATAACCGCTAAAAGGCTGAGAATTAGTTGGTTATTGGCCACTAATCAGTACTTCAGAACTTATTTCAAACAGTCCTTTTGAAACATCTGCGACTGAAACACACATGGAAAAGATAGCTGTAAAAACAGCTGTTTACCTGTATGTCTTTGCTGGAAGTTTAGCTTGAGCTCCAATGCCGACTGCTTCACTTACGGCACTTACGTATCTGGGTATATCTTCCTCGGGTATTGCGCGAATTCGAGCGAACATAGTTAGAGTTTCAGACCCGGTCATCTCCTTCAGTACTGCATCGAACTGTGGGCAATATCCTGTATGAGGTGCCGCCTGAATCCACAACGAATAAAATCTGATTTCTAAAGCTAATCAGCGCTTAAGATAATTTTGAAAAAACAAGTTCAAAAACTTACCTCTTGCCATTTCTTGGTGACACTGAGACCTTGCAAGAAAGCTTCACCGAACGAAACAGTATTTTCACCTGTGAGCATCTTGAAGGTAGTAGTTTTTCCAGCGCCATTTATGCCTAAATTAATTCATCTTAAGCACGCCTCGGTCAAACTTACAGCTGCAGAGATTAAAATACACAAAACTTTAAGAAGAATGGCAAAAAGATACTTTTACAACTTGAAGCAGTAGGAACATGCTTTTCAGATGCCACAGAACAGCTTCTGAATTTAAAGAATAATCCCACAAATGTGACTAACTCCAAAAATTTCACTTTCATTAACTAAATATCAGTAATTTTAACATACTTGCATCTCACTGACGAAAGAAAGAGTAAAAGGCCAAAAAAGCGAACCTAATAAGCCAAAACAGTCGCCGTTTTTAACATGAAAACTAATTCCTTTCACAGCATGAAATTCACCGTAATATTTATGAACACCTCGAACAACCACAGGTGCTGAATCGACCTTCATTTTTTTCACAAGCTCTTCCTCTGCAGTAATGGCAAAATCTTCATGTCCCCTCTCTTTAATATTTTTCTCAGCAAAAACCTAAAATTTAGCTGCACCATTTCAAAGTCATTCAATTAAAAGTCGAAACTAAATAAGTCAAACGCTTTGATTAAGAGATAAAGAACCTTGTAACCACGTCTGTACTTGAGAAGATGGAGCACTTTCCCCCCTGTCTTTCCAAACCATCGCTTTTCAACAGCAATTACTATAAGCCAATAAAGAACACCCTCAATCGCAAAGAAAAAAATCTCAGTCAAAACGCCTTTTTCGCTGGTGTCTCTCAACACCGAATCGACATAAATCCTTTCTTAAATACTTGAAATAGATTCCCTTGAGAAATTAGTAAAGACATAGTATTTTACTTACAGGCAAACTGCAACAAATCAATTTCTTATACAAAGTTCCGCCAAAAAATAAACAAGTACTGAATGTTTTACCAGTTTTATTACCACAACAATATGGCGCTCCGACTCGAAATAGAGGTAGTGAACAGTCTATTTTAGCACAAGCTTTCCTTCCCAGTTCGTTGTTAAACATTCTAGTGAAACACAAGCACAAGTTGTAGGATGGGAAAAACAAAGCGTAAAAAACTTCGAAATCGTATGATGTGCTCTTGGACACAATGTTAAAGATGATTGGAGCCAAAATTGCTCCAATAACACCTGAAAATTAATTTATTTCTTAAAGAAACACGAAATTCAAATAAAGATTATCATTATCACAAGTTTGTTAATAATGGTCATTCAATCACTGATTTGATCTGTTAATTATTAGTCACTGGTAATCCCAAGCTTTAGCTATCACAGTAAACGTAAAAGTTATTAAATTTAATGGCAATTGAAACAAGTGACAGAAATAAAAAAGAGTTAAAACTGAAATGTAGACAAAACGTCTCAAAAAAAGAACCTAACCAGAAATTATATTGAATATCACAATCGTTGTGTATCCCTTCTGATCGGAATTGAAGGCGAAATGGAAAGCGTACGTAAAAGGAATTGCTGCCCAACCGAACATCATCATTACGAAAAAACATGTCATAGTAGTATCTACGTTGCTTGTATATTCCTGTAAATAAGATTTTGAAAAAGGGCAAGTCAATTTACTAGCAAAGTTACCATTTTTTACCTGAACATTCTGAAGGAAGAAAATAACCATAACTGCAATACAGATAAGAATGAAAAAACAAGTATCCCAAATGAAGGCGCTACTCCAGTATACCCATACTGGTAAACCACACATTATCTGAAAATCCAACTTTATCTGTATCAAAAAAATGCATTTTATGAAACCTTAACAAATCGCTTTTGAAATGTTACCAGCTGTCACTCCAAAGAAATGAATCATGAAATACCGAAAATTTGATTTATTTTGCCAAAGTTTTGCATCAAAATTAAGTCTTAAAAGTTACTGTGTTAAATTTCCTTTTTTCAGTTCTTATACAATTATTATTATAAATCATTTAATTAACAGTATAATTTTTTATTACTCACTTTTAGCAATGAATACTGTTATTTACTAAAGCGAAAAACCTGAAGAAATAAGACATTAGAACTATAAAAGTACCTGCATGTGCTTAGATTTCTTTTCTCGTTCACGTATCAAAAAAGTGCAAAATCCAGATACAACCAGACTCATTGCTACAAAAACTGCCATTCCAAGGACTATACCTTTACTAGCATTCAAAAGTCTGTTCTTAAGTGTATCCGCATTAGTGGGTGGAAATGGATGATTGACCACCTGAATGTATCTGCGTAAGATTGTAGCTATAATCAAATTTCAATCCTTTTAGGACGTAAAAAACAATAAATTTTATCCATAAAGTTTAACAAAGGCAAAAATGACAAACATTGTTAAAGAAGACAACGAGGAAAAACGAGAAAACAAACACTGAAGGTAACCGGATGGTCTAGCATCAAACTTGCTATCATTGAATCAGCAATGCTAAGAGCAAGTGGTGGAGTGGCAAGACCAAAATTATTGAACATTGCTAAAATAGAAAAAGTTTTTTTTACTGATGCCTTAGTCAAATTCAAATGTATGTAATAATAACTTAAATATTTACCGACTAAAAAATGCGCATTAAGTGCTTCCAGAAAGAGCATGCGAAAACCCACTGGATTATGTATACCAAAAGTGTAACTGCCTTGCTAAAAATTAAAAAAATATATGTAAAAAATTCTGATTAATGAAACAGAAAGAAGTATAAAAGAAAAAATATTTCTTTTTGGAATGACAAAAAGAATTTACATTAAGAAGGTCGGTCATCATGCTAGCCCTAATATCATATCTCACTTTAAGTCCAAAAGGATATTTTAAAGGCTGTAATTCCAGAGTATTTTGGATTTCTCTGCAACAAAATCAAACTGAAAAAAAACAATCAGTTTTTTTGTAATCACTGCACTCAGTTGTCTGTGAACTGCTGTGATGAAAACTACACTGAAAAGTAGAAATATATGAAAAGCTGAAAAAATCTATCATGTATTAGAAGAATAGAAATCAAAATAATAAAATTTCGTTAAACAACAATCTTTTTAATACTCGGGCAAACTGATTCCATAAAATGTATAATTCTCCACATAAACGTTAGCAGTGACACCTTTACTGGTGTATGGGGCAAGTGTTATATTAAGCGGCTTTACTGACTTAGCTTCCGGAATAATTTTTAGAGCATAACCCATTAGTATTAGATATACAATCTGCAAAACGTATATAACGTTTGAAAGTAGCTGCCCGAGTATCTCTGACCCCAATCACAACAATATACCTTATAATAATTAGCCAGAACAAAAAATTAAGAACATAACATTACTGACTGGAAAGATTAGCTGAGGAACAAACTGTATCCTCCTCCTGTGAAAAAATATAATACGTTTAACGACCATCGCTAAGAAAAGTTGTGAATAGTGAGAATATCCTGTACAAAGACGTTTTGGTTTAAGTTCTGAAAATGTGCATATGAGTTTTTTACCTTTTTCTTCAATGAAGTGCTGGTAAACTGCTATGCAACCGAAAAAGGACATTGGTCTTTGGCACTGTGTATTCCAACGACAAGTAACTTAGACTTAGACAATATTCATTAGGAATGAGCGATAATTTAGCTGGAATAATCCCCTTATTTTTGAATCAAATGCAAAACTCCCAGCTGATGAATACTTCAAATCTAATAACTGATAAATTTATAAGATTAACTCTCAGTTGAAGCAGACTTCTGCCCTTATTTCTCACTATTTGCAAAGATGTAACCATTAATGTCTTCTGAATAAAAACCTAAATTTTTCATTTTTTTTTTTTTCAAATTTTTTAATTGCAACAGAACTTCACAAACAAACTCCTACTCTTGAAAGCGTCTGCAAAACATCTCGAAACCTGCATAAAAAACTGCAGAATATCTCAGTTAAAAAATCTAGATGTTTTTAAAACTTTATAGTGCTCTAAGAACTGTTACTTTACTGATACTCAAAAAAACTTTATTACTTTTCAATTCTCTCATTTTTTCTCATAAACTTCTTAAAAACGCTTACGAATTTGGTACATGACAGAACAGCAATTAATACATCTGAAAACATACGTTTCTAAATGCCCTCAGCTAAATTTAGGTAGGAACAAGTGACTAAACCATAAGACCCACATCTTTGAATTCGCAAAAACCATCTTTTTACAACTTCTCTCAAGGACTTCCCGACATTTCCTAGTTTTTCCACGTCGCTTTTTCAAGGTACCGCTTGCTCGCGCAAAACATACTTTTTCAAAACAACTACTATTTCACTATACGCAATATAGTGCAATGAAAGCACTTATTACCTCGCAAAAGCCCGCTCACCGCTTCAGTAATAGAAGTCAAAAGATATAATTGGTAATAAATAAAAACAAATAAATTTTGATTAAAAAAACTGTAAACAACTTTAGGTTGTTATACCGTCACAGTTTTGAAGTAAAGTGCCACAAAACCATAATTCGTCTTTAAATGATCTAATATAATAATGTATAACGATGCTGAATTGCCTGCACCGGTATCTGACTTGTAAACTAACTGGAAATACAGTCTTCTGCATCAGTAATGTGAAGCTCGGTAGGACTATGCAATTGATTTTCAGTCTCGGTTTCATCAACATTGGAACTTTCTGCGTCAGCCAATTGGCCCACTCTGTAGTATTGTTGCCGCAAAATTATTTAGATGAACAACAAAAAAGAAGTTAAGTTTTTTAAATTATTGAAGAAGTTGAATTTTTGACTACTTGAAAATAATTAATAAATCAGAAAAACGTCTTTTAAATGGTTAAAATAACCAAAAACTTGGCATTTTACTAACTTTAAAAACACTTCCTCCATTGTTGTCACTGAGATACCAAAAGACAAAATTCCAAATTCTTCCAGATTCATCTCCAACTCTTGAAATAGACTTGGAAAACTAAATTTAAATTGGTTTGGCACAAAAATTAGAACAACATTTTTTGTAAACGAACTACAGTGCCCGTGTTTTAAGTTTTTACTGCTTATAAAAGTTAAGTAAAGACGCAATGAATTTCCACATTCAACGGAAAAAGAATCACATTCCTAAGACTACGAGCTGTAAAGTGGTTTCTCCAAAAATAAAGGTAAAAGCCTAAAATTCACTAGTAACCTGGGTCGGCTTTCAGCAGGAATTAAGAAAACAACCTCCGTGCCAGTAACAGACTGAATTTTGACATTTGGGTCGTAGTCTCGCAGTAAATTCAAAGTTTTTGCTTGTAATTCAGTATAGTCTATACTAGTTTTTTCATCTGTTCCATTCGTTGCCCCTCCATAGTCAGCTGTTAAATGGTATCCGATTCCTGCAGGAAAAAACTTTAAATGTTTGAATGAAGAAGCAGCTAAAAAACTGTGTTTTAATAATGGAAAATTTAAACAACCATATAAGCTCTTAAGAAACATATTAGTGCCGGCGCACTGCAGTTCACCACGCGCCATTATGGCTATTCTGTCACCAAGTAAGTCAGCTTCATCCATATAGTGAGTTGTTAGAAGGATCGAACGTTTAGCCTTAATGGTGACAATCTTACATTTTAAAGAAAAATTGACATCGAATTTTTCTCATATTTGCCATTACAACTTCAGTCAGCCAAGCAGGTAGAGCACACGTGGAATTTCAACAGTACTTGTGGTCAAATTTGATTGACTGCTAAATTTTTTTTTAATTTAAGACGACAAACAGCCTTTGTTTTAAAAGCTATGTTTTTTTCTGGAATAACAGAGTAGGTGTCCTTGAAGAGGCGAGAGGGAGAACAAATTGAAAGAAAAAACGAAACAATGCCTGGTTCAGTCGCCTTCAGTAGCTCAGTCAAACGCCAGTATTCCAAACGCGTGTACGTAACAAGCTAGAGCCCAGCTAGAGCTTACACCCTGCTCAACACTGAGCGAGAGGAAATCAAAGAGAAACTCATGTATAGTACATGAAATTTGTGGCTATCGCGGTAAATAATGATATAAGCCTAATTTTAATGTGACTTTTCTTTTATAATCTAATGCTGTAAAGGTGAATAAATTAGGAAAATAGATTTGAAAGCTCACAACAACGGTTAAAAGTAGCATCTTGGTCAGCGTTACCATTACCATTCAAAATTGATCTATAAAAGTTCTGCCAGGCAGAAACTTTGCTTTAATGACAATTAGGAAAGAGCAGACAGATTGAATAAGCCTAAAATGAAAATCTGATTCAGGAGCATTGCATTGTGATACTGCATGTGATATGAAGGAAATCGTAGACAGTTACAGGTGGAAGTGCTATGACGAAGGCTTCCGCAGTGAGAAAAACTACAGAAACAGTTTTTGGTTATAAGGTACCAAACTACTTTTTGTAGTCTGATACTTCATAACCAAAGACTACACTACTTTTGAGTTGAAAATTATTAAGCTGCGCAAAAAAATGCTTATTACCTCAAAACATACCGCTGTGAAATATGTAATAGAGAAAAGTTTGCACGAAAAAATTCAGAAGAGGAGGTTCTGAAACTTAACACCGACTACTCATTTACTGTGTTGAATCCTTATATCATTTTGTAAAAATCATAGGAAACCTTTTGACAGGAAGAACTGCGGGCGTATAAAAGATTATGAAAGCCGATGAGCGTCCACGTATCGAAAGAAAGTGCACTGCCAGCAGATTTCTTGGGCGGTTGTGGATTGCAGGCCAATGAAAAAAAAAATTCTCAAAGAGATTCTTGATACGTCGACTGCAACTTCGATGGGAGTCGATTACGCTAAACCAGAGACTACTACTTCTGTTGGCCGCTAGAGTTCTCAAGATGTCGCTCAATCACGAAATGTAGAAGACTGTAGATCATAAATACTGTTTCATTATGCTTTATTTTAGCTTTTGCTCAAAATATCAAAGATTCATGAAGTTCTGCAAGCGTAGAGAAAAAAAGTAAAAACTATTGGAGAGTCGTAAGGCACTTTATAGCGAGCAACCTAAATGAACTCCTACTGTTTAAGCAAAATTTTTAAAAGAATGTCAGAACTAATGCTTTTTTGAAAATGGTGTATATTGAAATGGTTAAGAAATAATGAAATGTTGCCTACTCAACTGTTGCAAAGTAAAGTTTTGAGAAGTTAATGTTTTTTTAAATTCCATTCTTGGTTTTTACAAACTTTTTTTAAATTATAAGTAGTACAGCATGAAAAAATATAAAAACGAAGAAAACTATAAGATTCACTCGGTTGATTAATTTGAATTTGATCATACAATTTGTTAGAACTCCGTTTTTTTAGCAGTGTAAAACTGTAAGAGAAAACTAATATTTTTTAATGATAAAACTGCCACCTTCTCACTCTGCAGAAGGTTCCAAGTTTCGTGTCGAGCTTCAGGATCCATACCAGATGTTGGTTCATCAAGCATGACTATCTAGAAATGTGGGTTTCAGAAATAAACTAATAGCAACTAACAGTATAATTCCAAAAAATTCTATTAGAATTTACTTCGGAACCGCCAATCAAGGCAACAGCAAGCGAAAGTTTTCGTTTCTGTCCACCTGATAACGTTTTTGCATAAGCATTGCACTTACATTCCAAATTTAACTGAGAGATCAGATATTTTGCTTCTATTGGGTTCCATACACATCCTTTCAACTAAACACAGCAAAGAATTGTTGATTGGGCTGCAGCAAAATTTACAAATCGAGCTAAAAAGCAGCACCAACCTTACAGAAAAACTCCAGATGTTCCATGACAGTAAGCGTTTCGAAGAGAAGGTTATATTGCGGACAAAGACCGAGTTCTTTGCGAATATTTGGTAAAGAGTCTCGGATATCATAGCCATCAATGTATGCTGTCCCACTTGTTGGAGCAGTAACTCCTTAAAAAATTACTGACATATTTTTTAGAGAATATCAATTCTAGAAAAAGATACCGACCAGTCAGAACAGAAAATGTTGTGCTTTTGCCAGCTCCGTTATGTCCAAGTAATACTGTTATCTGTCCCCGATACACCTTTAAGTTCAAATTTGAAATAGCTTTTTTTTTTTCTTGACCCTAAAACTTTAATCTTCTGAACTATTGGTAAGTAATTTGAGATGTGAACATTAACAAAATTAGAATATAAAATGTAAAAAAGAAAACTATACGTAGTTGCACTGAAGTAGTTTTTTTATATAACTCGCTCCATATACTTTGGTCATATTTGCAATATTTATTGCTACTTCCTCAGATTCTGGAACATCTTCAATGCACTCCTTTTTTTCAGCAGTTTTGACGTCATCATCCTCAGATATGGTCACTCTTTCACTCATTTCCGGAAACCAATACGAAGGCTGAAAACGCAGGAAAAAAGAACTAAAATTAGTTAGCAGCGTTATACTGCTCTAAAACAGAGAAGAAATCTCTGAGCTCAAGATCCCAACTTGTACAGTAATCAAAATATTATACCTTTTCAAAAGTAATGTACTTTTTATACTGAGCTGTGTAATTTTTATCACTGTTGTAAAGTGTTCCACAAGAAAAAGCGGCTTAGAATCATTTTTTTGCTTGAAGCAGATCAAACATAGCAGAGTAATCCCTTAATTTGTAAAAACACTCTGTTAACAAGAAGATGGACCGTTCAGAGTTTCTTACACCGAATATCAAATTCAGTCATTACATACACGAAGTTACAATATAACGGTACAGCTATTCTTCAGACGTTTGAAAATTAGCTCTTAAAAGACAGCTTTCACACCATCAAATTTTGATCTTCATTCTTTTGTAATTCACGTTTATCGTGAAATTTTATTAAATGAACCCCTTTTAAAGTTGCTTTCAAGTTTCTGATTACACCATTTTTCTGTTTTTCTTCAGCTATTTTCAAAGTTCTACGCTCTTTTGCATTTAAACATTGTCGTGCTGCCTATTTATCCGTGCATTGAAACGAGTATCAGAAGTGCCTTTAAAATTAAATTATAGTGCTTACTAGGATGAAGAAGTAAGGCTTTTGCGGGACTCCTTCCCCCACTGCAACAACTGCTTCAAAATACCAAGTGAGGATAACCAATACAATACCATCAACAAAAAGCATTATGAGAACATGACCCATTGCCATAGTTTCATCTGGTGATGGAGTATCAAAAGTATTTTCCCAGTGAATTCCTGACGCTGAAAATTTTTTTGTTTTTTTCATTTTCTAACAGTAACAAAAAAAATTAACTTGTTTAAGCAATTAGTAAATGAGAAAAAAGCTATACCACACATTATTAAATGAACCTTGAGTCTCATACTGAGCGATCAATCGAAGCCCGAAATTGAGCGCAATATCTGGATTTAAATAATTTGCCATTTTTGAAGAGAATGAATGGGGCGCATCAGTTTCATCAGATGAGAATACAGCAAACCAAACGTACAACATAAGCCATCCGAAAGAAACTGCTGTCGTGGCAGAAGTTGCTAAAATTCTGATTAATAGACAAGTGACTAAGCCATATTATCACAGATTTTTCGCTAACCTGAGTGCATAAACGTTGAAACAAAGAACGCAAAGTAGACGATGTTGAAGCCGTATAGAAGAAGAAATACAAATGTCACTGAGCTATCACTGAACAAACTAATAAAATGCATAAAGACTGACAGAACCACAACGCTAATAATTATTTTCAGGTAGTTAACGATAAAAAAGGCAAGCCATTGAACCCATTGCCGAAGACCCATTACTTTCATGTATTCCTAAATAAACACAAATTTTTCTCAAGTTTTCTTTTTTTTTTCTGACTATTATCGTACTTATCAGATGTCGTGCAGATAATAAAAAAAAAACTAACTTTCATATGATTTTCTTTTTCCGCCACAACTGACCGAGCTATATAAATAACATTAGGCATAAATGAAAAAACCAAAATAAACGGAAGAAAAAATGAACCAATTTCAATAATTCGAGATTTATACTCCGGATATGGAAAACGTTGAAGCTGGAAAATAAAAAATTATTTTACACCATATAAAATTACTATTCATTTCAAAGAGTAGGCACAGTAAGTAATACTTCAGAAGTCTCGTTACCATAATCATCGTTTGTTGACTCATCTCCTCTGACAAATTCTGTTGCATCAGATACTGTAAGATAGAGGAATCGACAGCCTTTTGAAGCGTTAAAAAACCTTCACGCCAGTAACCTTAAAAAAAACTCTGGCATGAAACAAAGCGGCTTTATACACCACACAGGATGGTTCTAAACGACCCATCTGCATGAAATACGTTTGAATAAATCGTGGCAATTGTTGTAGTGATTTAATTTGGTGTTTTTCAATTACCTAGTAATTGTGAAAAATATCACGATAGTCCTACCTGGACTTCCACCATCAATATCTTTTGGACTATTAGGCCCAGAAACAAGCATTTTTTTAAAATCTTTCACAGTATCCCATGGTTCAAAGCTTTCTCCAAAAGTTTCCAGGAATCGTCTTTTCGTATTTGCCAGACGAATTTTGTAGAATATATGATTTATAGAAGATACATCAGCACTATATGCGAAATCACTGTCGAATACTATACCACCTATAACTTTATTAGTCATGATGAAATGATTTGACTAATTTTTTCATTGATAATTTTTATAAGTATGACTTTGATGATCAGTTACAGAACTGAAGAGGTCAATTAACCAACCAATTAACGGATTTCCGCACTGACTACTGAAGGAACGCTGTACGTAGTCAAGAAGATCACTCTCATTAAACTTTGCTAAAATAAATTTAAGCTATTAGTTGATTCTTTCCTTTTTAGTAATGATAATCATTAGCCTGAGTTTCCTTAGTTAATCGATAAGCATACCTCAATTAAAAAAAAATATTTTTTTGACTGAGTAGCAAATTAGAATTTATCAAAAATGCAATATCAATAATACTTTTTAATCTTTTGCTTTTTACTTTTACTAAA